TCTCATGATATCACCCATACAACGGTGTTTGGAAATTTGATAAGGAAAATTTAGCATTGTGCTTCAAATGTTCTTATTGAAGATTGGAGTACCATAGACATGCTTCAAGATAGTATTGACATGGTCATGAGGTAAATATCAGACTTTGGATACACAAAGGATCCATCAGGAATGACTTATAGAATAAGTCTTACAATTCCCTCATGGAAGAATGGTTAACCTTGCTAAGATGGAAACTATAACAATAGGTCCTCCGGCCAGGTGTGCTAGGCATGACATCACCTTACCGGGTCATATAAGGACCAATGTTGTGACTCTTGGAAAGTGTTCCAACCATCATATCTGACCGAGATTCATATCTGATTGGTGTTAGGATACCTCAGACTCAGGATGTCTGGGAAGAAAAGGTGTGACACAAATTGACGAGACAATATTTTAAGGTTCTCAAGAAATGAACTACGGAAGCGAGTTCCAAAATAAGAGTTCATCATTAAACCAAGGAGAGGTGAGGAGGTGGCTGATTGACTCAGTGGCGACAATTCATTGAGATTTCCAAAAAAAAGACGGATTTCCACAGTTATGTGAAGAAGGATATAACATTAGTCAGATCAAATGATATAATGATGTATGCCCGAGGAAAACATACACGATTTAACAATGATAGAAGGGGGCACCCGGAAATCTAGACTAGGTAGCACGATCAATGTTTGAATGATGATTCAATAAGCAATAGACTTAGAATGAAACTATCGACCATTAACTTCAAAGCAATAGGGTTGCTAGAAGTACATAATCCAAGCAGCACGATTCACGTGTTGGTATCCCGGTTAAAACCAACACGGGGACAAAGAAAGAACTATGAGGGTGAGAAGTATCACAATACCAAGAATTCCTTAAGAGGTGGAGCAGTCCTCACAACATCCTTGAGATAAAAGACAGTAACACTTCAAGGTAGAACATAACATAATTTGGATAGCAAGGAACTCAAGGTACCATGCAAAACTAGAACAAGTTTTGTGTTGGGAGGGAGATCAATAAGGTTTCTCATTAGGAACTCAATGTACGTCTTGGAAGAAGTTAAAATGTTGACGATGATCACTACACATTTATTGAGTGGTTTCGAGAAGATGTAATCGATCAGCGACGATATCACACCAAGGGAATGATGAAGCAAAAGGTTACTATAACCATAGATAAGATGCCATCTCATAATATAGAGTTGTCTCTCAAGACAAACAATATGACGCGGAAAGTTCGATGTAAGCTTAGAGCACTGTCGGGATTGTGTCCCGGTGATGAAGGACATAGGTAGAATTGTCAAGCAGTCAGCCTGACGATGATGACGTAGTCAACCAGTTGGAAATGACATGATCGAATACAAAACTCGTAAGCAATGAAGATTACTAAGAGTTGTAGAATCGCAGTGCGGACTCGATTCACTATTTGGTTTTCTCGGTTGACGACAACCTAGAACTCGTGGAGTAACTATGATAGGGAAAGGTATTACTTCATCAGAAATTCATAAGATGAAGTGCAATGGGTGGGTATCCTCGAGATACTAGGGGGTAATACTCGAAAGTAGATCAGGATAGAAACTGAACTGGATTGTTGAGTAACGATAGCAGATACTTTAACCTTGTCAAAATAGACGAGGCACTGGAATGGTTTCCTTTCAGGAATATATTAAATAAAGTTAGCATGGTCGGAACCGTAGCTGCAAGGGATCCAATATAATGACTCCGGAAGAATTATTCAAATGATTCAATACTTTTGCAAGAAGCTTCCATGATAAGTTCAACATTGGGTCCATGGGCATGAACACAAAGGTTCAGGGTCGACTCCCACTTCTTCAATGCCTAACCTTTCATTTACTTCTCATCTTCGAAGAAGTTGTAGAGCACAAAATTATCTAGTAAAACTCCAGAATGATATGACTTGTGTAAACTTTCAGGTTCATGCGATTTTAGGGAAGGTATAGGTTCAACCCATCGGGGCATCTTAGAAACATATACCACAAGCTTCAAGAGTAAATATTACCAGCTCAAAGGTAGATCATGGTTGGCCAAATCAGAGAATAGGATTTACCAACGGCATTATATATCAGGGAAAGAACTTCTCGAGGTTTTTGTATACAAAGGACACTGTCAAAGGATAATTCAACAAAGGATCTGATGTTCCATAATAGAGCTGATGTGAGTATCGGCATACAATAGAGGAAGGATGCCAGGACATTGGATTATAGAAACAACTGACTAGTTTAAAGCTCAATGCAAAGGAATTATGATTTCCAAATGAAGGGATCAGGAGCAACGCTCTAATTAAGGATGGATAAGTTGAGTAGGCCTAGGGGTGCAATTGATGGCAATTTGATTGGTCGAGATTCAACTCATGTTTAAAATGATGTCTGAGCCGGAAGGGTGAATTCTATGATTCGGTTGAGGATTGCAAGCAACCACAACATATTAAGTCAACGGACTCAAAATGATAATGACAAAAGGATGTCAATAAGATTACTAGATTTATGGGATTAGCCATAATGTAAGTAAGCAAGAATTTCAAGAGCAAAAGGCCCCTGAGGATTTTCGGAAGATCGAATGGTATTTTGAAGACTTTTGTAAAATACATGAACAACTGGGGATGAGCAGACACTCGACAAGTGCGAGGACTTATCCCTAGGGGCATTCACGTGACAAAGAACTGCAAGTCGGTAGGCACCAAGTATTCTCACAACAATAGAGAGTATTTCGGGGTATCTGGTAATAAGATGATCATCGGGGGATGATTGTATGTGATACATCTCCAACGTATCTATAATTTTTTATTGCTCCATGCTATATTATCTATTGTTTTGGACATTATTGGGTTTTATTATCCACTTTTATATTATTTTTGGGACTAACCTATTAACCAGAGGCCCAGCCCAGAATTGTTGTTTTTGCCTGTTTTAGGGTTTCGAAGAAAAGGAATATCAAACGGAGTCCAAACAGAATGAAACCTTCGGGAACGTGATTTTCTCAACGAACAAGACCCGGGACACTTGGACCCTACGTCAAGAAAGAAAAGAGGAGGCCACGAGGTAGGGGGCGCGCCCACCCCCACCAGGCGCGCCCTCCACCCTCGTGGGCCCCCTGTTGCTCCACCGACATACTCCTTCCTCCTATATATATCCACGTACCCCCAAACGATCAGAACAGGAGCCAAAACCCTAATTCCACCATCGTAACTTTCTATATCCACGAGATCCCATCTTGGGGCCTGTTCCGGAGCTCCGCCGGAGGGGGCATCGATCACAGAGGGCTTCTACATCAACACCATAGCCCCTCCAATGAAGTGTGAGTAGTTTACCTCAGACCTACGTGTCCATAGTTAGTAGCTAGATGGTTTCTTCTCTCTTTTTGGATCTCAATACAATGTTCTCCCCCTCTCTTGTGGAGATCTATTTGATGTAATCTTCTTTTTGCGGTGTGTTTGTTGAGACCGATGAATTGTGGGTTTATGATCAAGTCTATTTATGAATAATATTTGAATCTTCTCTGAATTCTTTTATGTATGATTGGTTATCTTTGCAAGTCTCTTTGAATTATCAGTTTGGTTTGGCCTACTAGATTGATCTTTCTTGCAATGGGAGAAGTGCTTAGCTTTGGGTTCAATCTTGCGGTGTCCTTTCCTGGTGACAGTAAGGGCAGCAAGGCACGTATTGTATTGTTGCCATCAAGGATAACAAGATGGAGTTTTCTTCATATTGCATGAGTCTATCCCTCTACATCATGTCATCTTGCTTAAGACGTTACTCTGTTTTTAACTTAATACTCTAGATGCATGCTGGATGGCGGTCGATGAGTGGAGTAATAGTAGTAGATGCAGGCAGGAGTCGGTCTACTTGTCTCGGACGTGATGCCTATATACATGATCATACCTAGATATTCTCATAACTATACTCAATTCTGTCAATTTCTCAACAGTAATTTGTTCACCCACCGTAGAGTACTTATGCTCTTGAGAGAAGCCACTAGTGAAACTTATGACCCCCGGGTCTATCTTTATCATATTGATCTCCTACTACTTAGTTATTTTCTTTACTATTTACTTTGCCTTTATTTTACTTTGCATCTTTATCATAAAAATACCAAAAATATTATCTTATCATATCTATCAGATCTCACTCTCGTAAGTGGCCCTATAAGGATTGACAACCCCTATTTGCGTTGGTTGTAAGGATTTATTTGTTTTGTGCAGGTGCGAGGGACTCGCGCGTAGCCTCCTACTGGATTGATACCTTGGATCTCAAAAACTGAGGGAAATACTTACGCTACTTTGCTGTATCATCCCTTCCTCTTCGGGGAAAACCAACGCAGTGCTCAAGAGGTAGAAGTATGAATGACAAATGTACGTGGTCATCCATAGGGGTTTATAGTTGGAAGGGAATTGCAAAAGCAATAGGCATAAGGCCTCGAGAGAACATCGAAGAGTATCTTTGAAATCTTCTGGGTACTAAGCAATCATCTGAAGTGAGGGGCTCTCTGGGAGAAACTAGTTACGAGAACCTAGAGTCGGAGTTAGTACAAATCATTTAACCTGAATATAAGAGAGATCGGAGTCCCAGAGTATAGATGAGGAGTAAAAGATCCTAATACCACCCGATGGCGACGTGGGCCCGTAGGCCACATAACCATGTTAGTAAAAGTTTTACAATGTCTAGACTCGACTTCGGCCAAGGAGTATGAAAAGGGATTCTTACAGGCAGTCGGCTCTGGTACCAACTTGTGACGCCTTTGATTTGACCGTACACTAATCATACACGCAAATGTAGTTTTGGATCCCATCCATGAATAATTATTTCGTAAGAACAAACGAACAAACAAATAGGATGACTGAGGCTGCACGCAACGCCACGGTATCCCCATATATTCAAGATCGTCAAGGACTAAAAGTTATCGGAGCACTCAATTAGTCTACACGAACTGAACAGAAGCCTCCAAAACTATGTATGCGGAGGCATGCTAATTATTCACGGCGACCTTCTCGCAGGACGGGCATAAGTTCATGATGGCCGCCGCCCTGGGGAGCTGGGCAAAGAGCTTCGAGCCGGCTGCCACCGGCGGCGCCGCCGACCGCTGCAGCTCCAGGAGCTCGTGCTTCAGCCGCTGGTTCTCGTGGGTCAGGCTCTCGCACCACCGCCTCAGGAACTCGCAGTCCACCTCCGTCTGCTTCAGCTTTGTCCTGTTTTGCATGCAAATATTTCATGACAACGTCACGATTTGTATATAAATTACTGATGGATAAACAGAGTGACTGCTTGGCAGAGCTAGGAACGTAGAACGTACCTGGCTCTTCTATTTTGGAACCATACTTCCACCTGCCTCGAGCTCAGATTCAGCTGCCGTGCCAGCTCCTGCTTCTGAACCTGCATGCCACACGGACGTCAAGAACAATCTTATCGGTATAGCTGTAGCTAGATGCAGAACAGAAGTTCAAGCATACAGGACTTGGAAGCAGTTATCAAATTACGTACATGAGAAAGTATGTTGTGGGCACGGAAGCTGCCTTCCAGCAGGGCGCACTGCTCCTTGGTGAGCCGGTGCTTCTTCCTCCTGCCCCCGCCGCCGCCACCATCGCTGCCACCGCCATCGCTCAGACACGGACCGTTCGACGAGGACGATCGGCCCTCGTCATCGGCGACCTTCATCTTCCTCCTTGCACCTTTCCCTCCCGTCTTTTGTTCGTCTTGATCACGCTCTTCTTTGCCGTGCTGCGGGAACAGCTCGTCGAGCCGGACAGGATGATTAGGCCGCCGCTCGCCGTCGTGGGTGTGCCACACGGCGCCGCCGCCTGTTGCTAGGCCAAGCCATGCACCCAGATCCTGTCGCTCCATGCTGCCAGGCTCTCGTACGTAGGACGCAGGATTGCGGAGGAAGCTTTGTAATGGAGAAGAACCGTAGCTAGCTGGCTAGGAACTTAAGAAGGACCAAGCCTTTATAGGCAGCTTAATTTGCAGGCGACCTGTAGTACCTGGGAAGCAACCGTGCTGGAGGACAAGGTCAGTTTCGTGTGTGTGGATTGAAGACGACAATAACACGGGTAATTATAGGGGTGGACGTTTGTCTTGCTTGTGTAATAAGGAGTAGTTGATCGACACTATTAGTTGGACTGATGAAAAGACAGCATCGGAAGAGAAAATCTATTTCACATTACTTTTTTCGTTTGTTTGAAAGGGCGATTAGTGTGCTTGTGAAACCGACGTCATCATGCATCTTAAGTTTTCAATTACTTGGTCGCCGTGGAGGTGCAACGTATGTTGCATACTCATACGGTGGGTGAGGTGGATTCGTTCAAGTGCGACACGTTCTTGTGCGTGCTAGCTTCGCGATTTTTGCAGACCAAGCATGCACTTAGGTAGGCATAGCTCATGTTAATTATGTGGAAATATATAGTTTAGCTAGAAATCCCTACTATGTTCTTGGACTTTCGAGATCATCTGTTCTGCCTGGTCCAGATCATGGGAGATTCACCCCGAACACGTACGCAAAGCAGTAAGCAGCGTACGTGCGACTGCATGCGCTTTAACCACTTGCATGCATGACTAATGTTCCTAGGAAATGATATTTATAGTTTTTTTTTTGGAGGAATGTTCCTAGGAATGATGATAATCGGGACAAGTCAAAGAGTGGATCGATCGACGTCGGCTACTAGCGGAGCAGTACTAACTATATGTAGCTGCCGGAGAGCTCTCAGGAAGAAGCCGTCTCGTCTCTCGTGTTGGAGCCATTCAAACTGACCAAGCAAGCCATGATTAATTAGACTGACACGTCCAGTTTCCTTCTCTAGCGTACACGTACACAGTCGATCGTGGACCTAGCTACTTAAGTTCCACGGCCATATCAATCAGGGTCTCGACAGGTTCACTGCATTTCTCCAGGACAAAACGTGATGTGACACTGATATGTACGTGTACGTACGTGTGTGTCTGCAACTCCCAACTGCATCATCCCATCTCCGGTGCGGTGCGGTGTTTATCGCCCTGCCGGCGGCGTGCCGCGTTTGCTGAAGATTCGGCAGACCGGCCGCCCTGGAACAAAATCCGAGCGGCGGTCAGGAGATCGTTGGTTGATCGTCCCTGACCGGCGTGTCGTTGTCACGACGGCGATGGTTGAGATCTCCTCCCGCCGTTTCACTGTCTGGAAAGGAAAGGGGGTTATATTTTATGCGGTCAAAAAGGAGGCAATGTTCACCTTCGCCATACCTGGCTGCTCGCTTGATGGGCAAGCTAGCATCAATTCTGTCAATAATGTTCCTTGACCCGGCGGCACCAGTGTTACTCCAGTGGACGACTAATTGATTGCTTGACCTGGTAACCGTTACTACCACTAATTACTATGTACTCAACCCGGTTTTGAGCAATATATTCAAGTGAAAGAACTCTCTCCAAATTTTTCCTCAAAAAATTCACTCCGGTTGCATCTTGCAAATGACATTCAAGGCGCTGATGCCCGCGCGCGTGCGTTTCGATCGTCCGCCTGCTTTAAACTCGTCAGCAGTTTTAACCAACCACGGATGGATGGATGACTGTTTTGCCTGGTCCATGGATGAGAAGCAGTCTTGATCAATATATATATATGTATATAACCTATGCTTAACCAAAATACTCCGCATTTCAGCTCTCACTTTCATCCTCGATCGTAAACGCGCAGTCTGCATTTCAGTTCTCACTCATGGTGCAGCAACCTTGCGTGGATGGAGTCGTGCATATCCGCCCAGTCCTCTAAATTCAACTCCTATGGTTTGTCGGTCTTCACCTAGGAGCCATTTCCACAATCCTGTTATTATGAAATGGTCTTAGTACTATTTTGATTTCAAAATAATCACGATGGTCACAACAATTTCTCCTATCGAAACAAACAATTAGGACAAACATGTTAAACCTATGGGCTGTGATTATAGACTCAAACTTACAGACATAATCCCCCGCTAACACCTTGAGGTTTGCATCAGGCCCTATAATATCCAACCAAATTGATGTCACGCCAATCAATCCTCTATAACATTATACTCAGGTCTCGCATTTTGAATTAGATCCACAGTTTTGACTTGGTCGTACCCCTTTGACTCTGGTGGAATTTCTCGGTGTGTGTGGGTCCTTTGTAAGTGGCTAAGTCGTGTGGACCATGGTTGTCGGTGGGGAAGGGTTGGTCTCTCGTACTTTCCCCAACCCCTTCGCATTGTTATAGAGAGAGGCAAAAGGGAGGCGGAGCCAATCTCTCGGTCGGCCGCCGGCCAGGCCATGGGCTCCTCCCTTCTCCGGCGGCAGGAGATATGGAGAGCCCCAGAACCGTGCCCTAGGATTGTGGGTAGGGTATCGAGTGTTGGCGTTTTGGTGGCGGCGACGACACCGCGAATAAGGGTTCCTCAATCTTAGCATCATATCGGCTTCTTCCTCGGAGGCGGTGGCGAGGTGGGAGGAGTGGTCTCTCACCATATTTTGGATCCGGCGAGGGTGAGTGCCTGGGCGGCGTTGCTGGCCACTTGTGGCGGAGCTGACGGGCTCCTGGCGTTTTGTGCTCATGGATCTGTTGACCCGGCGAGCTGGCGTGCTCCTGAATGTTACCAATTTGATTTTATGAATATTGATTTCTCTATAAATTTGGTTAAACCAAACCCACATGACTTTTTAGAAAATAATACACCTTATATTTTAAAGCAGAGGATTTTTTTTAATGAAAACCCAACAACACCAACGATACATTAAAGCACGTCCATCCCTAGTAATTTCTAAACCGTAAATGTAGCATGACTGGGTAGGGACATAGGATCGGACTACCTTGTGCATGTACTTCTCGCCTCGGAACATGGTTTTTCTTTTTGCTGATTTTGGATAACTAATTTTGTTATTTTGCCATGACCAATGCAAATGCCAGTCCATCATGAAAATTTGCATGTAGGTAAACAGCTATGCAATATATGTTGTAAAGAAAAGTAGATTTATTTTGCTATCATGACCTTTGTCACCTATTCGCTTGGGAGGAGAGATGAAGGGATGGATTCTACTGTTCACAGTGACAGCATTTTAGCTCAGATTAGAATGACACATTCGTCTCGCATCAGCTAACCCTTGACCTCGAGATTGGAATGGCACATTCGTCTCGCATCATCTAACTATAAATAACTGAGATCGGGTAATAGAAGAGAACATAAAACTCTCGTATCATGACCTATATAAGGGCGTCTCCAACACTGACCTCAAAACATCAGCAACAGTCCAGACTATGCGGTCTGGATGTATTTTGTCATCCAACGTGGTCTTGTATCAGTCAGTTCGGTAGTCTAGTCGCACTTTTTTCGCAACCGGAGACAAATTGGGTTCTTTGCGGGCGCTCGGACGCTGCCACGCCTGCTTCTAATTAACCAGGCCCACCAAGAAAAACCTCTCCCTCGCCCGCGCGCTTTCCCGCCCTACGCAGGTCAGTGCCGAATTCATGCCGGCTGAGAGCGGACGTGACCTCTCACTGGAGCCGTCATTGAAGCGACGTGTCGGCCGAGAGCGTCGCCGCATCGCTTCTCGGTGCACGTGACGTCTCTTCGCATTCAAACGACACCGGTCCATCCGCCTCCCTCCATTAGACATGCGCGGTTGCCAAGAACCTACTCCAGCGCCAGCCGTCCGTCTGCCACCCACCATTAAGGACCTCGCCGCCCGGCCTGCCCTCCTCGCGTTGTTTATACTCCAGGTCGGCAACACAACCACATCCATCCACCCTCCTCTATTCTCTATCCCCTCTCTACACCACACCCGCCATGGCCTCCTCAAGCTCCGAAGCCTTGTGGGACAACCTCTCGTCCGACCGAAGGAGGAGATTGTCGCCATTGCGGCCGGCTGGCAAGCCGCCAGATGGACAAGCTTAGTTTTCGGGGCTCATGGCCGGCCGGACACGCGGAACGGGTGTCGTCATTTCGGACTTAGATTAGAGTACGGTTAAGTTAAAATAAGTCAGAAATGTAATGAATGTGCTTCGGTTTATGTTAAAATCAACTGGTTTGCAAGAATTTTGTTCGGTGTGTTGAAAGCGTTTTAAAATGTAGCATATGATGGTCGACTTCCACATCTGTGTCCGCGAACTGGTTCCTCAATCAGCGGAAGAATGTGGTGTCCGTCCGGCAGGGGTGGCGACAGGGAGGGGCGAGCAGGGGTCGGACCCCTGCTAATCGCTCGCCCCCCTCAACAATTCGTTCGTGTAGGTAGTGTGTATTGTATATATGACTAATGGCCGGAACTAATTGCATAATTAGCCCAGCTCATATGTTAGCAATTAACTGAAACATCACCGAAGTAGAGTAGCCGATATAACCCAATAACCCATGTACGGTGGTTGTGGCTGGCTATTATTTCGCCACGGGCAGTGTTAATCCATTCAGATCGATCGATTGATATATGCGGACTTAGGTGTGTGCTACACATCTGGCGTTCACCGTCGTCGCCGCCGCTTGTCATCAGCGTGTCCTACTAGGGGCTAGGCGTTCGCCATTGCGGCATTGCCGCTGGCCGCAACTCGTCATGACAACAACACCGTTCATTGATCTACAGTCTGCTGTCGAGCTCGGGGATGGCTAGATGCACGCGGATCAAATACGGGTAGATGCCGGTGAGCATGCAGGTACACTACATGCTACTCCCTCTGCTCCCGCAACGTCTTATATTTAAGAACGGAGGGAGTACATCCCTCTGTTCCAAAATAATTAGGAAAAAATATGATAAGCAACATCAACAACAACAAAGCCTTTAGTCCCAAACAAGTTGGGGTAGGCTAGAGGTGAAACCCATAAGATCTCGCAACCAACTCATGGCTCTGGCACATGGATAGCAAGCTTCCACGCATCCCT